CATTGGGTTCGAGTTGATGTGCTTCAAGATGATTGTCACGCATGGATAGAGTCCTGGGAAGGCAATTGTATCTATTAATTAGGATATTTTATGTAAATTCCTTAGAGATAAAATGTGGGCAAAAGTCTGCCGCAAAGACTTATGGTATCTTAGAGTTTGTTAGAGATAAGAGTCGTGTCCAATATGGACATATCTTGTATTTCTCGGGTATAAATAGACCCCGAGCCCTATGTAATAAAAACATACACACGTTCAATACAATTTCGGCGCATCGCCACCCTTTTTGCTTTCGTTTTATTTCGATGAGTTATTGCTTTCGGGTTGAGCTGCATCAGTTTCGATCTTCAACAAGAGGTAAAACTTGTTATGGCGGCTTGTGTTCTCGAGATTAGCGCTTCCATCTTTATGATACTCTAATCTTGTTTATGTAATCTGTCAAGTTATCATATATCTTGCATAATCCTTGACAATATCGTCATTTAACCTACAATCGGCTAACATCTGCTACCAGAAGGCAGCCGATTAGGTTAAATAACGACGTTGGCTTAGATTATATGAGATATCCACCACTCTATGAAACATCCAGCGGCTTGATTGTCTAGATATTGTTCTTCTTTTTATACTTAATGCTGTATCAGTTGAGTTTGATCTATTAAGTCGTGCTTAGAATTTCAATCTCTAGCCTACCTACTGGTTGCCGATTAGGGTAGTATCGGAGTTTCAGCCGATCTTATCTGATCCAATTGCTTTTGTTCTACATGCTCAATTAACATGTTAGATCTGCCCTTTATGTTAAGATCTTGTTGCATTTAAGTATATTAGATTTCTGTTTAGTATATTCTATTTGCTTTAATATCTTAATATAAAGTAGTATCGCAGTATTAGCCGATACACGCTAGATCTATCTGATCGGCTATGCTATGAATATATATATAATCTCATTATTAATATATATTTCGATCTAGGTGATTTATACTGTCTCGGCAAGGTGATCGATCTATCCCAATCACTTGATTCAAGTATATATCGATATAAGGATTATATATCATTGATATCTACAGCCGATCGAGTAGATTTAGTTCTGATTTGTTTACTTAAACAATTGCCGATCGATTTACACATGACATCGGCTCAAAGATAAATGATATGTCATCGGCATCTAGCCGATCGGCTATCATTTATGAATTTAATCACGGTTTCTTTGTCTTTGTTTCTTGTTGATTGCAGGATCAAATCAACTGACACGCTCATACATCCAAAGACGAGTTTTGGACCTGCACTGGAGTTAAGCAGATCTCCCAGGCCTCGTGTTTTCTATCAACACAAGGGCGGCCGGATCCGGTGGCTGCTCCGCTCCCCATTGCGTCGGCAGATCTAGAGAGGGAGGCGCTGCGGCAGCGGATCTGGCGCCGGCGATGGCGGGAGCAGCAACGGTGGGCTTGGCCGATGCAGACGAATGAGCGAGTGATGGCGGGAGAGGGGGGCGCTAGGGTTTGTTTTTTTTTTGTGATTTTTTATCTTTGCATGCGGTCCGCATAAACACCCGCATGGAAAAATCGCTAATTTTAAAGACCTTTTGATGCAAACGGCTGGCTCAACGGCGTGGAAAAATTGATTTTGACCGTTTGAGAAAATGTCTTTTGTATTAGTGCATGGAGCAACCTGACCTTGCTGTTCTAGAGCCCCAAGCACGTGGTGACCGTATCTCCATGCTCTTCCACCTTTCCCTCCCTCGGTCCCTCCTGAGCAGATCTCATCAACATTGCACACGTGGGGGAAGTAATAGAGGCGGAACAACGACAGTGAAGAGGAAGAAGTGGAGCAGCCTAGGAGACTCCTTCTGCTCATCCCATCGGCTGGATCTGATGGCCGTCATGGCAGGGAGAAGAAAGGCCTTGTTGTGCCACTAACCAGGTGTGGGTGGGAAGATAGGAAAAGGTGACGAGAGATTGGGACCGGAGGGGGAGATGGAAGATGAGAGAGATTGGGAAAGGATAAGAAGCGGAGGAAACAATGGACGGGGGACTTATTAGGATGTGTTTAGTTCGCGAAAAGAAAATTTTTAGGTATCACATCCGATGTTTGACCGGATGTTGGAAGGGGTTTTCGGACATGAATGAAAAAACTAATTTCATAACTCGCCTGAAAACCACGAGATGAATCTTTTGAGCCTAATTAAGCCGTCATTAGCACAAGTGGATTATTGTAGCACTTATGGCTAATCATGGACTAATTTGGCTCAAAAGATTTGTCTCGCGATTTTCCATGCAAACTGTGCAATTAGTTTTTATTTTTATCTATATTTAATGCTCCATACATGTGTCAAAGATTCGATGTAACGTTTTTGGGAAAAAAATTGGGGAACTAAATCAGACCTTAGTGGCTTTCTTTTTCTATTTTTCCCACTACATGCTCGGCCTCGGTTTGGCTCCATCCTAAAAGTGTTGTTTTTTCAAAACTACTACACTTTGGTTTTATTACATATCAGTGTCACATTTTTTAAAAAAAATTGACACCTATATTATTATTATTGGTATCGTTTTTTCAATAAATCAGTACTGCATCATATATGCGGGTTTTAAAGCCGCCTAGAGGTCGGGGGATGGGAAAGGCTAATATGTGCCGGTTCTGAGTGACTAGGGTTTTTAGTAGTGCTATTAGGCTATTAATTAGCTGCAAATGCAACTACCGCTTGCATGACATACGATCGATATTCATACATGACTCAGGTCATCTGATGTGAAACCACTTAAAATTAATTAATCTGCAAATTTAACAAATAGATTGAACTCGGAATCTTATTAATTAATCTATTCTCTCACGTCGTCCTATTCCTCAATGCAGTGATCTTAATATTCACATGGATATCATCAATGCAGAGTAACAGTGCATGTTAGGGAAGGTGCATGTGTGAAGACGATTAGAATATTAAGATTAATAATCTCTGGGGCCTTATTAATTAGCTGCGAGGAGTACTAATTTTTTTTTTAAAAAAAAGAGACGTTCATTTGATACCTAATACTCCGTACATATTAATTATATACGTGCCTTATGTTTGACTCGATCGTCGCCGGCCACAATTAATGTTCTAATTTGATGCATGAGATTCAGTTCACATTGTTGCTTGGTCTTTGAATTTAGTCCACTTGCATTGGCCTTGCAAGTGTTCGTGGAAAATGTGTGGCAAATCCCGTGTACGTACACAGGTTGAAATTATCATGGACGCCGTTCACACATGGCTGAAACATAATACGCCTGTGGGAGAATGTAGGGTATCTTATACCATCTAAAGCTGGCAGGATTGCTGCAAGTTGAATTGGTTTATAGGGATGCTCAATATATAAATTGTTGACGCGTGTTGCTTTTAGGAGTCATCACTCAAAATACTTCAAGCTCATGGAAAAGAATAAAAAATTAAAATCTAGAGAAATATAGAGCCTTCAAATTTGGTTTGATCCAAGTGACCTAGGAGTAAACAAAACAATATTAAAGCTAAACTAATGATAAAAAAGGTTGAAGACACCTGTAGCATTACCTGATAAAATCAAATAAGGGGATAAAAATATAAATGAAATCCAGAAAATAATAAGTTAAATTCTAGATGCTTCCCAACTATATGTCCCATTGTAATCTGAAGATAAATCCCCTTTCAATTTCTTCTTGTTCTTCAATCAAAGAAAAGTACGGAATTACTTGAGAGTAAAATGAAAAGAAAAATCCAAACAACATCGTGCAAGTTTCAAAAAAGGAAGAGAAAAGAATTTGGAAGAAAAAATGCATTTTTGCCCGCCGCAAACTGCCGCCATCTTCGCCCTCCCACAAGCCACTGCCCTGGGTCACGAGCAAGCCTTGGGAGCCCAAATCTAGCTCTAATGAAGTGGGGACGAGCCATCAGGGTGAGAGAGGGATGACAAAGTGACATGAGCCCTCATCTGCCCTCCTCCATCTTAGGACCAATGGGTTCAATGACATCCTCCACGGCTCTATCCTCCCCAACAGCCTTATCTCATGGGCTACAGTAGGAGATCTCGCCAGCTTCTTAGTATAGGGGAGAGAAGTGCACCAACGGTGAGGGTGAGCAAGAGGTCTATCGCATCCCATCCATGGTGTAGGGCCTAACACGGCTGTAACATCACCTCACCGCGTAGCTGCATGTCGCTCTTGTCATGGCATGTGTTGTGAGCCCAACGGCCCACCCTATAGCTAGCGCCACCACCGACACCAACATTACGAGTGCCAGAGAAGTTGTTGCACGCGGATCTCACCTCTACGCATCTCGCAAGAAGTTCTCATCTTTCTGAGAGAGTGAGTGAATAGCCATGATGACATTGGCGCGTGAAGAGAGAGAGAGAATGTGCGAGTGGGAAGCGGGGATCGGGGTCTAGGGAGAGAAAGAGAGACAGCTCATGTGCCAATCACCAGTGTCACACGAAGAGAGACGGCACTGTGGCCGAGAGACTCTAATATCATGATAGAACTAAAAGTTTTCATTTCTCCATTTAAAATACTTCTTCTTATTATACACTACATCAAATAAAGAATGTTTACAAAATTACACTTATGCACCGTCCATGTAAAAGTACAGGCGACTTGCGAGTTGTTATCCAGAAGCTGAACAACTTTCAATGCCTCCTTTTAGGAAAACTAAAAACTGCAGATTCCCCTGAACAGCAAATTAAACACGCCTTTCCTCTTCGAGAAGTAAGGCAGGACATAAACGAGGAATGCACACCCTAAAACGAAGTTTCCAGTTAACAGATGATTCCCAAGTTATGGTCAAAACAAAAACAAATAGTACAAGGAAAACCAGCATAGAATATTAGCGAAGAAGAGATTCTCTCATAGATACACGCTATCTGCGCCATGTTAACCCCAAGAAGACGCCACAACGTGACACGCATGTGGCCACACCAAACCCCCGGGCGGCCATCACGCGTGCATCCGCCATATACCCCCGGCCAGCACTATTTATACCCCCTCTCTCATCGTTTGTTTCGATCACTTCACTACTTCAGCACACACTGAACTTGTTGCAAAGAGAGACATATAGTATATAGTTAGTAGCTTAATTTGCAGCGCTAATAAGCTCTAGCTTTCTCTTCTTCCTAGCAAATTATAATTAACACTAGGTTCTAGCTAGCATGGGTGTCGAGAAGACGACGGCGAACGGCGGCAGTGGCGCCGCGGCGGTCTCCGGCGGAGGGCGCACCGTCTGCGTCACCGGCGCCGGCGGGTTCATCGCGTCGTGGCTCGTCAAGCTCCTCCTCGAGAAGGGCTACGCCGTCCGCGGCACCGTTCGGAACCCTGGTATGTATATATATTGTTATCGGTAGTTTTTAAGAAATCCATGTAGATTAATACGTAATTATGTGTGTATTATATAAAAGTATTTTTGCAGTTTGTTTGGTGTTCCAGATCCACGCTAGCTGGGTTTAATTTTTTTATGTTAAATCATAGTGGTTTAAAAATTATATTTTATTTAAAATGAGATTAAAATAATTTATTCAAATGTTACCAATATAATTATGTATTTGGATTTGTAGAGTTATAAATATCCAACTCTGAAAATCTTAGATCAGGATATGTCGAACAGGACCTTCATGTTGAAACACATGATAAAAAAACATACTCCAGATCTTATGAGCAAAACAGCGTACATACACATGCCGTTGCAGCAATATATCGGGGATGCTGAGAAATAAAGAGGCAACGATCAACTATCACAATCTCCTAATTTTGCAAATCCCGATATTAATATATCTCAACCGTTTGACCCTCGATCGATTAATCTTATAATTAAGTAATTAGCGAAGAACACGGCCGGCCCATATGGCTGGCTGACACACCGCGCTCGATCGAGAACCCTGGTAGCAACAGAAAGGGTAGCAAAATTAATCACTAATGATGTGATTAGTCAGCGCTAGCTAATTAATTCTAGTTTCTTTAGCTAACTCATTAACTAATGAATTACTTCTAATTAATTGCTGCAGATGACGCTGCCAAGAACGCGCATCTCATGGCGCTGGCCGGTGCCGCGGAGCGGCTGACCCTCGTCCGGGCGGAGCTGCTCGACAAGGAGAGCCTCGCCGCCGCGTTCGCCGGCTGCGAGGGCGTCTTCCACACCGCCTCCCCCATCACCGACGACCCGGTACGTGACTCATCACCTGCACCAGCCGGCCGCCGGCGACGACGAGACGACGTCGCCGTACGTGTTCGACAGTCTAAGAGAGACTGACCGGAATGCATATGCTCGCAGGAGAAGATGATCGAGCCGGCGGTGAGCGGGGCGAGGAACGTGATCACCGCGGCGGCGGACGCGGGCGGCGTCCGCCGCGTGGTGATGACGTCGTCGATCGGCGCCGTGTACATGGGCGGCGGCGGCGGCGAGGAGGTGGACGAGACGTGCTGGAGCGACCTCGACCACTGCAGGGACACCGGAAACTGGTACTGCTACGCCAAGACGGTGGCGGAGCAGGCGGCGTGGGAGCTCGCCAAGGAGCGGCGGCTGGACCTCGTCGTCGTCAACCCGTCGCTGGTGCTCGGCCCGCTGCTGCAGCGCGGGGTGAACGCCAGCACGTGGCACGTGCTCAAGTACCTGGACGGCTCGGCGCGCACCTACGCCGACGCGGCGCAGGCGTACGTGCACGTCCGCGACGTCGCGGACGCGCACGCGCGCGCCTACGAGTCCCCCGCCGCGCGCGGCCGCTACCTCTGCGCCGGCCGCACGCTGCACCGCGGCGAGGTGTGCCGCATCCTGGCCGCCCTCTTCCCGGGGTACCCGGTGCCCACCAGGTGCAAGGGCGACGCCGGCGAGACGGCCGAGGGGTGCCGGTTCAGCAGCCGCAAGCTGGCGGAGCTCGGTGTCGCCGTCATGCCGGCGAGCCAGTGCCTGTACGACACCGTCGTCAGCCTCCAGGACAAGGGCCTGCTTCCCTTCGTCCCTGCCGCCGCCATGCCGTGAGCTAGCGATCGCCGGCGCGCCGCTTTTGTTTTACATACCGCTCCGGCCGGCCGATGATGACCACGGCGACGTGTCGCCACCGGCTGGCCTGCGTGCGTACGTGCCTGTATGTTCGTCGGAAGATCAGAAGTTGTACAACTGTATTTCTCCTAAGGGCCGGTCCTTTTCGGAGCACCTATAAATCGGGCACCGATTAGTTTGTCAAAAATAGCGTGCTGTTTCACTAATTAAAAAAAATGTTTCACCAACTAAATCGAAAATGTTTCAATCTTTTAAAACACTGAAACACACACCGCTAGAAAATCGCTTTTCCAAACGGAAAAAGGACCACCTACACGCAAAGGCATGTGAAAATAGATGATTTTCACAGGCGGCCCAGCGAAAACCATTTTTGCAGGCTGCATCTATTTTCGCAGGCAGTAGAACCACCCTCCTGCGAAAATATTTTTAGCGAATAAAAAAAAATCCGCCGCCACCACCCTAACCCGTCGGCGGCGCCGCCAGCCTCCCCTCCCCTCCCAGGATCCAGGCGGCAACGGCGGCGTCGTCGTTGTTGTTATCGTCGTAGTCGCGGTAGTCGTCGTTGTCACGGCCGGGCACGAAGGAGTAGAGCTGCGGGAGAGGAGAGGGAGGGGGAGCCGCACCTCCCCTCTGGCCGCGCGCCACCGCCAAAGCTCCCCTCCCCTTCCCAGATCTAGGTGGAGTCATTGTCATCGTCGTCGTCGCAGCGAATGTCATTGCGGCTGGCCGCGGAGGGAGAGGAGAGGGAGGGGAGCCACGCCGTCGCCGCTGCCGCCTCAGCTCCTCTCGCTGCTGCCTCCCCTCCCCTCCCCGGATCCAAGCGGCGTCGTCATCGGCGTTGTCGTCGCGGCCAGCAGCGGAGGGAGAGTAGATCTGAGGGAGAGGGAGGGAAGCCGCACCTCCCCTCCGGCCGTGCCGCCGCCGACGCCCTCCTCCAGCACCGCCCCTTCCCTCCACCCACGCCGCTCTTATGAGAAAAAATAAAATTAGAGATTTGTCACAACTTATACAATACTCCTTCTAATCCAAAATATAAGCCACAACCACCTTTAACCCAAATAAAAGAACAACAATTATCGCCTCCTCATTTGGAACACCTCCTCATTTGGAACACCTTAAAAGATACAATGCATGCAACCAATATAATTAGAGATTTTGAAAGTGAAGTAAATAATAATTTTAAGGGCCCCCTTGAATCGTAAAATTGAGAAAACATAGGAATAGGAAAAATGTAGGATTTTGATAGAAATGTAAGTGTAAAATAGAGGATTGCAAAACATAGAAATAACCATTTGATTGGACCACGGGTAAAACGCAGGAATTAGAGGAGAGATAAAAACTGAAAGGAAAGTTTCCACAAGGTTCTACCTTATGTTAGAATTCCTCCAAAATTTGCATGGTATTATGCATTCTATACGAATTTCATAGAATTCCATAAGATCCATTCCCTTGATTCACAGGGCTATATAGGAAAAATTCCTACAGGAATAAAATCCTCTAAAATTCCTATGAATTTCCTTTAAATCAAAGGGGGCCTTAGTAAAGAAGAGGTGCTAGTTAATTACACTCATGTATGCACGTCTTATATTATAAAAAAATTTAAAAATATAGTTGGACCTTATTTTTTTAATGGAGGGAGTTGGATAGTAATTAACTTTTCAAGAGATGTAATCTCATTGGAACGTGAGATGTGCCCCATTCTTAGTACTTATATAAAAGCCCTCTACTTTTTGTGAAAATCACAAAATTTCAGACTAGGCTTTACCATACGATGTAACGGGTGAGGCTTGATCCGACCAACCTCTATATAAGGGCCAAGGCCGGTTCTATTGGAAGCAATCTACTTTCAACACAATATAGCCAATTGAATCATTTTTTTCGATATTGCATCTACTTTTCGCCTAGTTTAGCTTAGTTTTGTCCATCTTTATCTATTTGCGTTATGAATCGTCCGCATTCGCTGTGAGAGTGCGAAATATCTTTGCAGGTTTGTCCCATAGACCTTCTATTCGCCCATGAAACATGTATTCATCTTTAGTTCCATCTAAATCGACTCCGCTGGCCGGTTAATATATCGAAACCCATCTTGATCTAGTTTTTTTGCTAGGTTGGGGTGGTTAGCGACTCCATACCACCGCAAGGCTTTAGGTATCCTAATCGTGATTGTCTTCTTGCCAAAAAATTCCACTAAAAATTCAATTGGTGTATTAAAGCATAGGGAACTCAAGAAAAATCCCACCAAGCTATTTCCATTTATTAAATAAAATTATTAATTAGGGTTAGCTCAAGGTTAAACTTAAACAATTTCTTTTAGCGATTTATTAAATGAATTAAGACCAGAAAAAGGAAAACTTCAGGGCATGACATGCATTATGCCTTGCCTCCGAGAGCGGTGGCAATGGCGCACGAGGGACATGGGCGATGCCACAGCCATACAAATTAGTCAAAATACCATCTTTAAAATTTCAACTAACTTTTCAGCCACTCCTGCAATTTCAATTTAAAGGTTTAACATATGTCTACAATGTAAATAATGATACCCGTGCAATGCAAGGGTCAACAACGACTAGTGTTACATAATTCTCCATACAGTGAGAACTGGTTCTCCTTATACGCTTATTCTTTGTTGAAAGTCCACACGAGAAATTCCACATTACCACATAGCATGCTAAAGGTGGCTTATAGGAAAACTAGATGTTTTCCCGAAGCAGATTATTCAAACAACCTCTCAAGAAACATAGAGAAAGCATCAAATAGTGAACCCTGACCCATCAAACTTCTCGTTAAGGATTGAGTCCAGGTGTTGTCCCATCTCGAGGGTCATATGGTTCAGCCAATCTCCTGCCACTCCCTTTCTGAAGTAGGCATCGTTCGAGAACGTAATGCCGACACCCTGGTATCCTTCCCTGTTGATCTTTTGTTTCTTCATGCTCTCTAGGCTGCAAAGCTCTACGATCTCTGCAACAACACCCGTTTCTTCTTCGGCATCAGAAATCGGCTGCCCAAGGAACTCTGCTAATTGCCTAATTGTGCCCATCGGATCTTGGAGCATCTGTTCATATGTTAGGAAGAGTACCCTACTTGGCTCTTTTTTGCTTGCGTTCCAGTAGCCGAGGATGTGATCCCAGACAGGCCCACAGGCAGAAGTGCCCTCGCAGATAGACTTGTACACCTCGGAGAATGGCACATCTGATCCAATACGTTTGATACGCTTGATGAAGTGCCATGTGGAGACTGCTCTGTCCTTCTCATCTCTGCAAATTAGCATGTCAGCAACAAATTTTAATTCAAGAGATGCAATTAACTCTTAAACTTTTCTAATAGTGAAAACCAAAAGCACGGCATGCATTGATCCACGTCATCCAAAAATCATGAACGTTGGATCGCACTAGTAGGAAAATAATTTTTGCATGTCCCCTACCTTAATTCCAGAGGTGGACGAAGATACGAATCACCTGCTTTATGTTTACCATGGTAGGGGAGGTCCACGACCGTTATGTAAACAAAATACCATGGGCGACTACCTTAAGCGCCCTCCCAAGGTAACATGTTTTTTTCAGGCAACTGTCTTATAACTCTACCTATGAAAACATTGGTTTATTTACATGTGTGATGCAGTTAATACCCTGCTCATATCATGCAATTTTTCAGGTTGTGCCGTTAAATGCCCACGCCCACCTAGGGTCGGAGCTAGCACAAAATAAAATAAAGGAGGGTTCCTCTTGCTTGCTTTACCCTGGTTTGAATCAAATTTAGCTTAATACGGGTGCCTAACTTTGAACTAATAGAGTATTTATATGGTGAAAATAGATAAACTATAAGTAAAAAAATTTTTGAACCGGGTTTCTAGGCACCTCCTAGCTGTATGTAGCTCCGCCCCTGTGTCCACCTATGTCATGTCTTGTTCATCTTCCTTGTATGAGATGGGTAATCGACTAGTCGTGGGGCCATCGCATGAGGTGAAGTCTAGGGCATCAACCAGCTGGGAGGAGGAGGCACCTGTAGAGGTGGAGGAGAAGGTGCAGCCAGAGTCCTCACATGAGGACCCGGTCGTCCCCATTCCCCAAGCACGCACTCTGGTATGGGCCGACCACTAGCGCCATGGCACCGGCTGACCGGGCCCTAGAGTGTGCTCCGACAGGGGTCGGCCATAAACGTTGGCTCTAGAGGCAAAGAGATTATGCAGCAACTAATTAGTTAGTCTTTTTTTTATCATATGCCCAGGGTATGACAAGTAGTATGTAATTAGGGATAAACTTTTGCTTTGTATTATAGTATCTTGTTTAATATATTAAATATTTAGTAGAAACTAATATATATATGTTAAATATTTTTTTCGAAATATACCAATGTTCCATCTCGAAAATATTTTATCGCGGGCTATTGACATGTGGACCGGTACAAGTTTTTGGCTTGTCAATGACATGCATCCCAACATCTTTCTAGGTGGCTTTCATAAGATATTTTTAATAGATAATACCGTCGACTTTTAGCATGATATTTGACTATTTGTCTTATTTAAAAAATTATATACATGTTATTTATTTTGATGTGATTTGTTTTATTATCAAAGAAACTTTTGGTTTGACTTATAGTTTAGCATATATTTACAGTAAATTTTTAAATAACACGAATGGTCAAATGTTATAACAAAAGTTAATGACATGATATGAGAAACATCAGACATTGTATTTATTCTATGTTGAAAATGTTGCTATATTTTTCTATGAATTTTACCAAATTGAAGAAGAGTAACATTGCTGCAAAAACCCTAATAAGGACTGGCATATAGGTGCCGATTTATTTAAAACCGGCACCTATGCCCCCCTTTTCCACCCTGCGCGCAATGAAAAAAATATAACCTGTACCTTTAAACACTATAGGTGTCGGTTCAAGGAAAAATCCGATACCAATACTGTATATGTTGGTTTCTAGATAAACCGGCATCTATACTTATATTATAGGTATTGGTTCTAGAAAACAACCGATACCAATACTATAGGTGTTTTTTTAAAAGAACCGATACCTATACTAGTATAGATGCCGGTTCTTTTAAAACCAGCACTATAGGCGCCTGTTCTTTTAAAAAATGGCACCTATTAAAAAAAAGTCCACTGACGCACTGCAAGTCACAACCTTATCCCCTCTCCGTCTATCTCTCTCTCAAGTATGCCGCTCCTCTCCGTCTTCTTCGCTTCTCAACACCGTTGGGTGGTTCTCGTCACCTTGAGGAGCGGCGAGGTGATGGTGGGTTTTCTCCTCCCAGCCTTCACCTCCTCCAGATCCTCCTCCGGGCCTTCTCCTCCTCTAGACGCACCAACGGCAACAGCTTTTCATCTCCTCTCCTCTCTGCTGCCTTCTTCTCTCCATCCGACAACAGCGCCAATGATGGAGAAAGCCAACGGCAGTGGCTACGGTGGTGAAGGTGGTGAGGTGTGGGGTGGCGGTGGCCGGGATTTTTTTTATTCGGTGAAAACTATAGGTGCCGGTTCCAGATCCGGCACCTATGCACCCTGGACATAGGTGCTGACCAATTGGTTGAGGTCTTTGGAACGGGCACTGATGATTATTTGTGCAGTGTAAACAAATCCAAAACTGGAGGGAGTAGGAAAAAGAAGGTACCTGCAAACATATACGATCTTACAATCATCATTGTCGGTTATTGAAGAAGGCAGCAGCGAGAGTGGCAGGTGCGTGTTCAAGAGCCTCGGCGACGGCAGCTTGTCCAGCACACCCTCCCGCCCACACGCGAACAGGCCACTCTCCACGGTAGGCACGCAGTCGTGCGAGTTGAGGCGGCGGAGCGGGTGGTCGGGGCTCGCCGGCGGGAACAAGCCGCGCGCCATGGTGGCGAACGCGAGGGCCTTGAGCCACGTGGTCCCGGCCTTGGGCAGCGTCGCGAGCACGACGTCGCCGGGGCGCGCCACGAAGCCGCCGCGGCGCTCGTCGGCCATGGCGGCCGTGCCCCGCGCCCAGTCCTCCAGCAGCCAGAACCCCCTGTAGGAGAGGATCGGGAGGCTGTTGTTGTAGACGAGGCGCCTCGGCATGCCGGAGATGGCGGCGTCGTGCTCAGTGACGGGGCGAGCCGGGATGGCGTCGACGCCGGCGACCTCCTTGAACGGGACGGGCCCTGCAGCTTGCCCATCACGGTCAGGGAGTAGTGCTCCTTGCACTTTTGCCATATTTGGAGCCACGGCGAGAGCTATACCAATCTGAGCTATATGCATATGGTTGGGACTTGGAGTCTAATAAAGTACTACCTCCACATTTTAATGTATGACGCTGTTGACTTTTTGTTTAACGTTTGACTATTCATTTTATTTAAAAAAATTTATGTAATTATTATTTATTTTATTATGACTTGATTCTTCATCAAATGTTTTTAAAGCATGACATAAATATTTTCCTATTTACACAAAAATTTTGAATAAAACGAATGGTCAAACGTCAGTCAAAAAGTCAATCGAAAAGTCAATGACGTCATACATTTAAATATGGAGGAAGTAGTATATATTGTCCACCTTTGCTGACCCGATCTTATCAAGTACAGTACTAGTTAGATGCATTAATTTAGTTAGCTCAGGGAAAGCACGTGCTTGGCAGATATTGTACCCTTATGGATCACACTGTCCTTCCAATCTCCTACGCGTACTCCCACCAGATATTCTACGATGCTGATCTAGTAGTAACTAGTACCACGTACCAACCCGAGATATAGATGAACAGACCGAAAATGTCAAGCAAGTTAGATGGACAGATGCAAGCCCGCCCTAGCTAGGGATTAAAACGGAGCGGATAGTTTCTATTCGCTGTGGAGAAAAATAAATACGGATTCCTTTTGAAGCGGATAATTCTCGAAAAGTCCGGACACGGCTAATCTTTCCGAATGCGAATACGAATATGGTATCGGGGTTTCTAACAGACACGGATAATAATATGTATATCCGGTGAACAACACTATTTGATATCCGTTGAATCCATAAGACATATCACATTTCTTTATAACTCTACAACCTTCAATCTATCTTTTTAGATTTTTAATAGGAGACCATCTCTTAACACTAGTCCACATTATTAATATTATTTGAACTTTTAATATCTTTGATAAATTATACCATATTTTAAGGAGGTAACTGCTGGGGCGACCAAGATGAGCTTACATGTGGAAGCTGGGGCGGTTCGGCCGAATTTGTGGTCGGGACAAACCACTTTCGCCGCCTTTAGAAATAATTTTAAAAGCCTAAAACAAGAGATCTAATTTTAAGTTAATAAACTCCAATATAACAGTAGGCTAGATAATTTTTTAAAACACTTCTATTGTTTCTATAGTTCCTAAATTTTTCTGGGATTTATTTGAGCCAAGGAAGTATTTTTAATAAATAGAATTGCATTTCATGAATAATTTAAATAGAAAAAGTTTTAAAATCTCTCTTTTGGGTTTGGCCTTTCTCTCTCTCCCCGGCTTGCGCGCGCTTGGCCCATGCCGGCCCAGACCGCCGCACCCCTCCCTCCTCTCTCTTTTCCGCTGATAGGTGGGGCCCACCTGTCAGTCGTCTTCAACCTCCAGCCGCCATACCCGCGCCGCAAGCTGCCGCTGCCCCTTCCAAATCCGGCCACCCCTTTCCATCTCCGGCCAAATTGTTTGAGGGGAAATGATCCCCCGGATCTCCTCTTCCTTTTCCTTTTTGGAACTATCGCAAATTTCTATGGAAATAGCCCGGATTCGAATTCGATTCTTCCCCTCTAACCCTAAATCTTCCATCTCGCCGGGCTCGCCGTGGGCCTAGCCGCCGCGCTTTGCCGCTATAAAATGACCCCCGGGACCTCGTCCATTCGCCACCATCCTCGCCTTGGCTTGCCGTAGCTGGTAGAGCCGCCTCCGCCCTAGCTCGTGCGCCGCCGCCGTTGCCGCGTGTCCAACCGTGCCGCGCCACCACTCTAGTCGCCGTCGTCGCTCGGGGTTGCCGTCGCCGGAGCGGCAAGGTCATCGCCGTCATCGTCCCACCCTCCGTTTTCACCGAAGACCGCTGGACCGCCGTCGTCGCCACCGCCACCTCGACCCGAAGACCATCGCCGTTGACCCGAAGACCATCGCCACCTCGACCTCGCCACCGTCGCCATCTGTCATCGTTCGTGTGGAGATTATGGGTACCCCATACCCACACGGCATGGTTATTAGACTGGTTATAGGAGATAACTTATATCTATGGAATATGTAACGGATCATGACTTGGGTATTACGTTTCCCTGTATATTATGGAACGGCCTAAAGTCCTAGTTTGATAAGATTGTAAAGTAGATTTAGGAAACCGATACCGTATTGATTAAGGTTTCTATCTTGTAGTCCTGCCCCCCATCCTATATAAGGTGGGCAGGAGGCTCTATATGGGGCATGACACACAACCAGATCGTCAGATCTACAATGCACTTGGCGGATTCAAATCCCCAAACAGGAGTAGGGTATTACCTCTCATTGAGAGGGCCTGAACCTGTCTAAATCCTTGTCTCCGCATCCATCCACTTTTAGGTCTCGTGCGCTACCCCTTTTATTATTGCTGAATTCATGTTTCGACAGTTGGCGCTCCAGGTAGGGGTACGTCGAGTTCCTATCAAAGAAGTGTGATGGAATCAATTCCAAAAGCAGGGTTGAGATTAATCTCAACAATTTCGACCACTCCAAACGTCTACTGGTTTGTCGTTTCAATATATTGTTATTAGATTGATTCTTCTAATCATGGATTGCTCTTCTGTGAGACGCTTTGTTTGTGTGCATGCACTGGCGGCTGATGAGATCTGCTGATCGCCTCCGGATAACCATATGCACCATGGCTCGGCGTTGGCGGAGAGCTTCTGCGTCCGATCTTGCCCTGCGATTTGGCTGAAGTCGGCCAATATTCAATGGCTGATCTAATAGAGATCTATAATGAGATTTCGGATAGCATCGCTTACTGCCGTGTCGAGTTCTCAACCGATCATCTGGCCGGTTACGGCGATTATATTAATTAATTAATTATTATTTTTCACTAATCACAAGTTAATTTGTGATATATATTTTTGCATGTCTAATGAACGGTTGAGTCCGATTCATAAGAAGACAAGCTTCCCAACTAGATTGCACGAGCATGGATTGGTCAGGCGATGTGTGGATGCATATCAAGCGTTCATGCTACAGGAGATTAATTGGCCAATCAATATATGCGAGCTGCATATACGCATTGATAAATGCAAACGTATATACACAAGCTTCTTTATACCTGTATTTATTTTATGTGGTACTGAACAGATTAATCTGTTAGTTGATTTATTTTGCATGTACCCATGCCAATTGTCTCTGTCGCCGCTGCTGGGCATCCACATCTTCACCGCCGGCCCCCTCGTCTGCCGCCGACTGGTGTCCTCGCCTGCACGGCCGGCCTATTATGCCGCCGTTTTTGGGCGTCTACGTCTTCACCGCCGGCCGCCTCGTCTGCCGCCGACTGGTGTCCTCGCCTGCACGGCTGGCCTATTATGACGCCGTTGCTAGGCGTCTACGTCTGCACTGTTGGCTTGCTTTGCCGCTGCCGACTGGTGTTTCCGTCTGCACGGCCTATGCCGCCGTTGATGGGCGTCTACGTCTTCACCGACCGGCTGGCCTTCGCCGCCGCCGACTGGTGTCTCTGCCTACACGGCTCACCTATTATGCCGCCGTTGTTGGGTGTCTACGACTCCACCGCCGGCCTGCCTGCGTCGCCGCCGACTGATGTCCTCGCCTACACGGTTGGTTGGTCACACCACCGTTGTTAGGCGTCCATGTCTTCACCGACCGGCTCACCTTCGCCGTCGCCGACTGTTGTCTCCGCCTACACGGCTGGCGTTGTTGGACGTCTATGACTTCATTGCTGCCCAGCCTCGCCTGCCGCCGACTAGTATCCTAGATTATACGGTTGGTTGGTCACACCACCGTTGATGGGCGTCTTCGCTTACACTGCCGGTTTGCCTTTGTCGCTGTCGACTGGTGTTTTCGCCTATACAGTTGGCGGACTCCGCCGCCATTGATGGGCCTTGTCATCTACACCACCGGCTTGCCTTCACCGCCGTTGCCCGGTGTCTTCATTGTTATTGATGGACAACTTTGCTCCCACATCAGCCACCTCTGCCGTCATCAAGAGGAATATTACAAAGCTAAGTCATTATTTTTTTTCTTTATATGATATTTTCCTTTTCCTCTGTCTCACTATGTCAACTGGTTCGCCGTTGACTAGCGAATCAGGGGCTACAGACGTTATATCATATTTTTTTAACAAATATCATAATATTTATCTTGATTGCTTGCGACATAATCTGAGTACAAAAGTGCCTATCGAGTTATGGAGTTCTATCTTCCTATGCTTTCCGTTTGGTTTGTCGATGGATAGTTGCCTTTGGGCTGATTCCTAGCACCCGAGGGCTCGTTGGATGGAGCGAGTAACGCAAGGTGCTAAGTATTATTCGGAATAAATCAAAAGCATAGAGATAAGATAAATTTAATTTCTGCTCTTTACAATTGCAAAAGTACCCGAGTAGTAAATTATGATTCGTAAAACTTTGTTCCATTAATGACGAACTCATGTCACTCATATGCATGTTTGGGAAGTGCCTAGACCGACTCCCGATGCTTGGGGGCTATGACTAGTCGGACAGAGTGTTTAAACGTACAGAGTCATCTGCTCGGGGAAATCGAAATTGAGTAGAGGAGAAATATATATTTATAAATATTTTAAAATACTTGAATATTATATATACATCAGATACTACTCATCCTATATGCTTGTTCTGTAGGATCCAGATCCAGATATGCATAAAAGGGATTCATGGCTTTAAGCTTATCTCCTACGCTTCAGGATTGGATCAGTCAGAACATCACCACCGGCTTGCCTTCGCCGCTGCCGACTGGTGTCTCCGCCTGCACGGCTAGCCTATTATGCCGCCGTCGTTGGGCGTCTACGTCTTCACCAACCGGCTTGCCTTCGTGCCGCCAACTGGTGTCTCCGCCTGCACGGCTGGCCTATTATGCTGCCGTTGTAGGGCGTTTACGTCTTCACCGACCGGCTTGCCTTTGCTGCCGCCGACTGGTGTCTCCGCCTGCACGGCTGGCCTTTTCTGCCGCCGTTGTTGGGCATCATCATCTTCACCGACCGGCTTGCCTTCGCTGCCGTCGACTAGTGTCTTCGCCTGCACGGCTGGCCTATTCTGCCGCTGTTGTTGGGCGT